GGGGGGGGGGGGGGGGAGGTGATGACATTTCTAGAAAAATGCATCAGATGAAATGGGACCTTGTGTTAGCTCCTAAACACAATGGATTCTTGGTATTGGTAGCTTGGAAACTTTGAATTTGGCTTTACTTCAAAAGTGACATGAAGATTTGCGATAGATCAAAGTTAGCATGTCAAAGTTATTAAAGCTTTACCTGGAGATCATGGTGGGGTTTTTTTCTCTCAAAACCGAATAAAATGTACGGGTACTTGAGCGAGAATTGTTACAACGACTAGAACTCTCAATGTAAAAAAAATCGGTTGGAATTTGAAATAATACTAGCTTTTCCAATGAGGTGTGGGTTGGTAGTATGCCTTTCAATAACCGGTTTGACAGATTTATTTAGTTGGAGAATGATTGGGATAGTGTGATCAAGGATAAATATGTTGCTAATCAATGGGAGTTGCATTGACACCGTATAAATCGGAGCAATTTGAGGCTTAGTTAAACATTCTTCATAATTTCATTCTCTCATATGAAAATGATAGATAGATTTGGGATGTGGATGACTCTTGAGTTTGTGGTGAATAACAGGTGGAAACATATTAATGAGTAGTATTGATATTCCGTCTACCTTATGTCAAGTGTGTACTTCGGTTGAAGAGAGCCTTGATCATCTTTTTACCCAATTTGATGTTGAAGACATCTTGCATTTGTGCGACTCTTCGCAAGTCTCATCCATGAAGAAGGCACCGATTGAAGCTAATTGCATGACTACTTTATGAGTGTTGTGTCAATTCAGGAATTTCGTGTTAACAAACAGAAATTGAACACGATTGTATACTTTATTGACTTCCTACTTTTGGTTTGTTCAAAGTAATAGAAAAACTGTTCTCGGCTTCAAAACCCGGTTCTTTTATTCAATTGTAATTGGTTTATTTTTTGCCCGCTAGTTCCTTGTTAGTGTGGCTTATCAAATCTTTCATATATTAAAAAAAAACATGAAAATAAAATGACAATATATCCATAGTAAAGTAGCAAAGAAAACAACCCTCGGTCAAACTTGTAGTTACCTTGATACCCTAACAAATACATCCAAATTGGATTCCAAAGAAAATCTTTCCTAAAAAACTGTAATCAATAACACAAACCAAAAAAATATTTTATTCGAAAAGAATATAAATAACAAATGCTTCAAAAATCAAATCAATTACCACCAAATGCTAAATACAATTCACTACTATACATATGAAGAAAAGCTTGTATCAAAACCACAATATCCCCTTCATATACTCTCATCTTCTCCGTACCCACAAAACCAAAATTTGCTGACCATGTTGAAATCGGCTAAAATCCTCTCACAACTAATTAATAACACAAAACAAACATGTATCTTAGTGGTATGTTATGTTTTTTCCTATCAAGGGTTATATGGATAATGTGTTGTGTATGCATAACGTATGTTTCTTTTGATGAATGGTCTAAACATAAGGGTAAAATAGTCATTTACTTATATTTAGACGATTCATTCCGACTAAAAAACCAACTCTATGTATACTCAAGTGTTTACAACTTTTTGAAACGTTCAACACTTTTTATTACTAAAATGGATCTATATTTTGGGGGACTAAATGAAAGAAGTAGCAACACACTTTCATTTATTTGTATGTTATGTCATCATACTTTTATTTCTTACTACTATAGCTTGTAATTTCAATATTTTTGTAAGACGTATTTTGAAAACTCTACCTAATGATAACATTTTCTTTCTTCATAGGACATGTACTTTGAAAAATTCTACCTAATTCATCTAGTTGTGTTAATTATAGTTGTCAACTCGTGACTCGAATGCTCGACTTGTAAGAGTTATGATATTCATAGAAAGCTATATATAAATATATAATACACATACAAAGAGATAATATTTGTTGAATATTCATGCACTTCGAAAAAAATTCTTTTAAAACATTACTTTGAAAAATCTACTTAAGCTATATACTTAATCATAGTTTGAACTTTTTTTATTCTTAAGAGGATATGTATTTTGGAAAATCTACACAATTATAAAAGTAAAAATTATTTTATATTTGGATGATCTTGTTATAATTATATAGATTTTTTAAAATATAAAGAGGAAGAAATGAAAATTAATGGTATATTAATAAACAAATCAATGAACATAAGTTGTTATCTTTTGCATTTAAACCTTATTTGCCAAATAGTTACAAAACTTTTTTAACATAATCATTAATCACCAATTAACTCCCCTAAAATGTCAATTTAACCTTAGAAACTCCAAAAAGATTCATATTTGACTTTAAAATAGTCATATAGTATATAATTTTCAAACCTCAAAATTAAAATCACATATATTCATTGGCATGTTGACAAAAAGTGAACACCAATGTATAAGAAAGCTTTAGCCAATAGCAAGGCGTGTTTAGATGTCTCTCTTTAAAAGTGTATGCACATTAAGTTATCAAAATTTAGACTACAAAAAAGGGTGTTTGGAACTTTGGTAGTGTGTGTTATACAATGAAAAGCAACTTGAGAAAGTTCTAACCTTTCGAAGTCGTAGGAACCACCACAATGTGCATGGTGGTGTTGTTGGGTGGCAACGCTAACCGGAGTGGAAAAAGCTTCCCATTCAATGGATTCCTCGAGCACACAATTATATCATTAATCCCTGTTTGTTCTTCCAAAATCCGAGTCAAATCCTCTAATCCATTCCCCTTGAATACAAACGATGTTTCTTCATGACCATCATCAACGTTCCCATCATCATCCGCCACCGTGTAATACACCATCCTCCCTTCCTTCTTTGCAGCCGGTAGATCATTTCCCTGCATTTTCACAAACACATGGTGTGCATCACATCAATTGAGACAAAATCGCAAATTCATCGAACTTGAAATGTGTAGTAATGAATGATTATTTGAACGAACCTCGGTAAGGCCAGATCCGGAGCTTCTAAGAGAAAATGAGGAAGAGTTTAGATCTGGGTTTACCGTTTCGGATGGTGGCGACGACGGCGGCGGTTCCCGCTCCTCTGGTCTAGCCTCAACAGTTTCAACATCCCACAAAATCCAATCGTGATGCCTGTAAGGAATGTCATGAGTAACTGAATTTCTCCATGGAGGCAACCCACCATTAGCTCGTAGATAGTTTCCATATCGGGTTTTGAGACGAACTTGAAACCCGTCTCGTATCGGTTCCCATTCGATTGATGAATCCAGCTTCTGCGGCATACTTTGAACGACTTTCCGACCAGTGAAACCGATGATTACTTGATCTTCAGATGCGGTGAGATACTTCCCGTAACTGGACTTCAATCGGAGGACATTGTCGAATCCGTCAACAAATTCAACCATCCAAATGCTTTTCTTCGCTGCGTCATTCCGATCTTGTAGCACACTTTCGCCGTCGCTCTCCGCCAAGAGGTACTTGTCGTGGTGGCTCTTTAGTCGGACCGATTTCGCCTTTCGGAAGAGCTCCATTCCACTACTCTGCATTGTGTTATTCACTGTTATTTTCCGATTGACGAAGTGGAGCAAGGGATATATAGTTGAATGAATCACAAGAAAGATTGGATTTAAGATGTGGGCCTGAAGTTTAGTTTCACAAGATTGAAACTTTAAATGCAAATTTACAGAGGGATCGATGAAGATGAACTTGGGAAGTGAGCCAGAGGGATGAGAGCACCGGCTACAATGTATTAATGGCAGTCACGTAACCTTATCTTATCACCCTTACTAAAAAATGTGTCGGTAGTATTTAAAAGGTATATTTTTAATTAAATAGTTTTTTATAAGTAAAATTTATGAAAATGATCAAAAGAAGTCACTAATAAGTTTTTAGAATAAAATAAAAATAAAAACCTAAGTAATATAATTATGGTTTATAAGATGTTTCCTACCGATTTTGGTTGTTTACTGTTGAAGGAGGAGGCTACAACCAATGGCGACCTATTTTTTGGCGAATTCGAATTCATTTGCGGAGATCCGGTATCCGGTGATCCTGCGTAACTGTCAACCATCGACGAAAAACTCGATAACGAACTCATTACAGACTCAGTATCTGACAAAGATATGTCAACGATATCAACTCCCCACAACACCCAGTCTTGTGTCGCAGTTCGATGAGGTACATCATGTGTTATCGAATTCCTCCAAGGTGGGGTTCCACCATTTGCCCTCAAGAATTTCCCATCGTATGTTTGAAGCTTTATTTGAAGCGCACTTTCCCTTATCGGCTCCCATTCTGTTGTATGATCCGGAACTTTAGAATGATATTGTTTTACCTTTTTTCCAGTCATACCAAGTAGAAACGCCTCATTTGTGGCACTAAGGTACAAGCCATGACAACTTTTTAACCGAATGACATTAGGGTTTTTCTCCACGAACTCGACAGTCCAACGTGCCTTTGCAGATGACGCGTTGTGGTTTTGTCGAACAGTTTCTTCGTCATCATCCGCCACTAGATATTTGTTATGGAAACCTTGTAGTCTAACCGCTTTAGCTCCATGAAAAAACTCCATCCCGCTCTATATAGACAACATATATAGACAACATATACGTTCAATAGATGATAAAAGTTTAGTAGTTTAGGGTAAATCGGTAATTTGGAATAGTATTTTAGTTTTGTAATTTGAAAATGGGTGACGCGGGTAAAAACTAAAAAAGTGTTTTACCTGTCTTGAGCTTACACGTGGCGACCCTTTATAAGAAACCTCAGACATGCGACTATCCGCCCTAACCCTCGATATCTCCGGCGCCGACGAAAAGCTGGATGCCGGCGATAGATTACTTGCCATCGACTCTTGTGAATCTAAAACAGCGATATCAACCACTTCGACATCCCACAACACCCAGTCCTGGGTTGCTGTCCGGTGAGGGAGGTCATGGGTGACGGAGTTTCGCCACGGCGGCGTGCCGCCGTTACCCCTCAAGAGCTTCCCATTATTAGCCCTCAACTTCACCAACTCGTCTTCCTTAATCGGCTCCCACTCGATGGAGGTGTCACGTTTGTTCGCCTGAATGTCTTGCACCACCTTCTTTCCGGTCAGACCAGTCAGAAACGGTTCGCTGGAGGGAGTGAGGTACTTACCGGAGGAGCAGCTTTTGAGGCGGATAACATGGTTTTTCCCTTCCACCGTCTCCACCATCCATCGTGCTTTCCTTGCAGATCCGTTTCTGCTTTGCCGGACGGTGTGTTCATCTTCGTCGGCGACCAAGAATTTGTTAAGGTGGCTCCGGAGTCTGACGACTTTGGCTTTGTTGAAAAACTCCATGATTTTTAGGAGATTAAAGAATGATTAATGAATGAAAAGGGCTAAATTGGTTCGATTCTTATGGAATCTTGTTGTTCTGACTAATCGACGACGACTTTTAGTGGGTTGACTAGGAGGATTTACGTGGGAAAATTGGAAATTTGCAAGTTGTAACGTGGAAGTTGGTGCAGGTTTTCAATATACTCGGTTTGCTTACCAGGTCAACGTATTTAATGATTTTGTCTCGGTGTTAAACTTCATCACTTCATTTATGGGTAATTCTATCACACTAATCAAATTCTTTCCACACCAAGTTTATATCATTGAACAATTTTTTTATTTTTGGAAATAGCAAAATATTATAAAAAAGCCTCATGTCTAGCAACTAACTAGATGTGGCCAAAACTTACAAGGTTACAAGATTAAACACAAAGAAATGAAAGAACAACACCAATCCGTCTAGCTATATGTTTTTGCCTCAATGTTTGAACCAAACGTATACCATGGAAAAAACACTGTCGGCAACCTTGGTAGGGGAGGGTACGTATCACCTTGTTGAAAATGTTGTCATTTCAAGCCTTCTATAGATAGACATAATTAGATGAGACCATAAAAAATATATATGATTAGATTCCGTCGTGAGATTGTAAGTACTAACAAAAATAGGTAACGAATTGGGATGTCAAATGAAGTAGATAATTCTATTATGAAAGAAGTTATGGCATGGGTGAGCAACTAATCTCTTAATGAATTGCCTAACGTCCAACATCACGAAAATAAGTGAAAGACAAAAGGTTGAATGGGTCAGAAGCTTTAAAAGGGTTCATAACATCACTTTTGTGGGATTACAATAAACACATATCACAAATTCTATGTCTATTGATGTGTGAGGATGTTGGGACAATATGGATTTTGAATTTGATTTCGTGAACACAGTTAGTTAGCAGGTCAGGAGGTTTACTATGCATTTGGGACCAAAGCTTATTCATGAGGTCGGCTTTGCTAAATCAATGTACTTTCTAGCAATCTTTAGCTCCTGGAAGGGTATATAATGGGAAACAATTTTTGTGAACGTTTATGCACCACAAGCATCATCCGGAAAACAAAACCTTTAGACTAACTTACTGGAATTAAAAAAGGTAGACAAGGAAATTGGATTTTTGGGGAGACTTTAATGTTGTAAAACGACCAGAAGAAATAATGAACTTTTATTTATACTAGTATAATGCCTCAAATTTTAATAGATTCAGTTTTGAAATGGGTTTGCAGGAGTAGTATGGGGGAGGTGATTTATGTGCATGTGTGAAGATGGTCTAAAACTTAGCAAATTAAATCGATTGTTGGTTTGCTCCAATAACTCAGTCGTTCTCCTCGATTACATCACTTCCTTATAAGTTCTATGATGACTTCATTGTTATTATATGCTCTTCCATGGTTAACCTCCCCCCTGATTTATTTTATTCCTGGATTCTTAGAGACGAATTAGGTCTAGTGTAACGCCCCTCGCATTAGCTATTTTAAATAGTGTTTAATAAAATATTTCCAGAGATTTAGTTAGCGGAAAACGATCCTAAAGTTTCAAACAATAAAATAATTGGTAACATTAAGAGTTTTCATACAGAACTTGGTCCCAAAACATAATTTCCATAAAATAGTTTGGAAACGTCATGCAGAGTGTAACAATCAATCAAAGCAAAGATTTAAATACGTCAAATAAAGTCTTTACAAAACCAAAAGGTTTTTTAAAACATCCAAAGCTTTTAAATCTTCTTAAGCTTCTAACCAACATCCACTAACCTGCAAAAATGTATCAATGTAGTTGGTTGTGGGTTAAGTTATGAGGAACCTAGTGAGTTCAATCCTGGGGTTAGACATTATATGGATAGAGTTCATTCATATGCAATAAATTAATCTTAATAGGCAATAAATGTAAAAAAATCCAATATCTACCACAATGATTAGGGTTTTCAAGGAATTACCAGGTTACAAGATTATGCACAAAACAATGAAATAACAACAACAATCGGTATAGCTACATGTTTTTGCCTCAATGTTTGAACCAAACGTACACCATGGAAACAACATTGTCAACAACCTTGGAAACAACATTGTCAACAACCTTGGTAGGGAAGGGTATCACTTTGTTGAAAACATTGTCATTTCAAGCCTTCCATAGACACTAGATGTGACATCCCCATTTTCACGGCCAGAAAAGACCGGTTTTGTTTATGCTTTGTTTGAAAATCAGAGTAACCTTTTAAATAAAAGAGTTGCAGAATTTATCCCAGAAAAACATGATAAATACATTATCAAAGCATCTCCGAAGAAATGTATTTTATTCATTTTAAAACATTGGGATGTCATCGTCAATACAAAAACATAAGCATAAACAGAACTTACATTCATTAGCACTAGTGATTTACATCTCCTTAATCTCTTAGTGTAATGTAACTTCATATTGACACCTGTGATATAAATAACTGAGTGGGTCAGGTTGGGAAACCTGGTGAGTACATAGGGGTTGCAACCCACAATAATATAATTATTATGTTTAAACATCAAACAATCAACCCAATTACCCATCCCCATTATCTTCTTTACTCTTAAGGATTTACCCTAAGAATCAGCTATTCCTCGTTCATTCTTTCCTAAGGATTATCCTAAGGAATCGGCATGAAGTCCATCGTCGCCACGGTTTATCCAACAGGCACTAAGTCCATAGTCACTAGGGTTTAGGCACTAAGTCTGCATAGTCGCCAGAGTTTATACAATAGGCACTAAGTCCATAGTCGCCAGGGTTTAGGCACTAAGTCCATAGTCGCCATGGTTTATACAATTGACACTAAGTTCATAGTCGCCAATGTTTACTTATATCCTCTTTCATCCCTCCTCATTCATCTACCCATCTTTTACCCAACATATTCGTAGACATAAAATACATATACAATTTAAATCACTTAAAACATGTATAAAATTGTTCATCCAACATAGATCTCAAATAAACAGATAATATGCACACATAACACGTAATTTATATAAAATACTTCATATCTATGTGTAACATGAAAGTAATTGTGCACTCACATTAGTAGCGTGAGTTGAGAATCTAACTAGAAACAGTCGGCGGTTCGTGATCGTCGAGCTCGGAACGCGAAACGGCCTCGACAAACGAGAGAGAGAGAGAGAGAGAGAGAGAGAGAGAAAGGAATTGGTGTAAGAAGAGCAAGGGCTGAACTTGCTATTTATAGGGTGCCCAAGACCTGTCCACGTCGTGGATTTCATGTCCACGTCGTGGCGAATGGCTGAATCACTTCGTAGGCTTGCCATCTGCGTTCTAGCTTCGAAAGGTGTCCGAATGACTTTTCCACTTCGTGGAATTGATGTCCACGTCGTGGAGTCTTAACACATCACTACCATAGACTTAGCACGTGTTTTCTAGCCTCGATTAGTGTCCTTGACCAATTCCACATCGTGGACCTTACTTCCACGTCGTGGAATTGAGGCTGATTAGGGTTTCTGCCATGTGTCATGCCCTTAGACTGCTACATCTTCGGAAGGTCATAAATTTTGCATACGAAATCCGTTTTTGACGTTCTTTATATCCACACGTAGGTGGAGACATACTCTACAACTTTTATTTAGACCCCTAAGGCTAAAAAGTACTTTATCATCAACTCACTTTTTACGATTCCCGGTGTCGTGCCCGTTTTGTCGCGAAACTTCAACAGGTCATAACTTCTTCGTTATAACTCGGATTTCGGCGTTCTTTATATGTATGGAAACCTTATAACATATAATAAAACTTGGTTAAGATTATTTATTCTAAATAATCCTCTATCAAAAAGTCATTTTTGACGCTTATCGTCTCTAAATTGACTAGCTCGAATCTGCGGGCGTTACAATTATCTCCCCCTTAGGATGATTACGTCCCGGAATCATCAACAAACAGGGCTTGTATAATGATTCCATGCGTTGTCTCTTCATCCTAGGTAATAACCGTAACTTCTATGTTCCTTCGAATGAGTTTCTAACTTTTGGACTTCTTGACTGCATGCGATGCTCAATTTTGCACCCGCTCTTTATCCTATATTGGACTTTCAATCGTAACCTTCAAGTTACAAAATCGATCCTTATTGAATAATCTTACTTCTTCTTAAACAGATTTAACTTAAGAGAAGTTCTTTACTTCGATTATCATAACAGACCGATGGGTCATTTTCTAATGACCTCTCATCGTATGATGCAACACTTAGACTCAGGTCTCTTAGAGTCAAATTCCAAAATGGAATATACCTTCCTTCATGTTCTAATGTGATATAATCACATTCTTGCATGTAGCACTTCTAGCTACAAGCTTCTTACTTAATAGTGATATCGATGCTTCTATTGATCGTTTCAATTATCTTTCACTTCAATCTTCTGGCTTAAGTCGGATCCTACATCGATCTTGGTTTTCTGAACCACGTAACAAACTCATCTTAGTCGGACTCGATATGATATGACCACTAGGGTCGGAGTAACAATCATCTTTTTAGTCATTACCAAAACGATGCTGACGACATACTTGAACAAAACGGAATCAATTACTAGCTTCTTGGTAACCTTGTGACTTTCCCTGATCCAAGTGCGAGTTTTGTGCTTCTGGTAGTATAGGCCTCTACTACCTTTCACACCTACTCATACTCGTCCCAAGTATTGTCTCGCAGTTTTCCAAGTCACCATACAAGAAAATCACATAACAACTTAACACACCAGATAACAAAACGAAGGTTTTATATTATTCCTTGAAACGATTACATAGGTGTTCAAGTTCACCCTAGACTATGCCTCTAATAGGCTACACCATACGATAATATCCACACGGCTACTGCATAACTCGATCTTTGGATATGAAGTATTCATCCTTGATTCCTAGCGTTGTTTTCTGCTTCGTCGAGGATCATGTGGAATGCCCTTGGCCTTGGTGGTGTGTTTGGCCTTGCTGTCTCGTTTTTCTTTGGGCAGTCTCTAGAAATATGCCCTTCTTTGTTACATCCGTAACACACCTTCTTGTTGGACGCACACTTGCTGGCGTAATGCCCTATCTTTCCACATTTGTAGCAAGTCACTTCCTCACTACATTTACCGAAGTGTTTCTTTTTACACTT